ATAAGAGAAAGGGAAAAGATAAAAAGAGGAGTATAATCTGACTCCAATGCTAGTCCATCTTCAGTGATTCTGAGAATATAAAATAACAAGTGGGGTAGATATAGTTGATAAAAGTGACAATTAAAATGCTTATCACACGAAAAGCAAAGATGCAAGGGTAGTAAGATAAGGTTAAATCCCCATTTTGGTCCCTGAACTATTGTACGGACCTCCGATTTGGTCCATGAACTAAAGAAATCCCAGATTTGGTCCTTAAACTATTGTACGGACCCCCAATTTGGTCCTTACTGTTTACAATTTCGTCCCAATTTGGTCCCTGAGCTATTATTTAACAGAAGGACCAAGTTGGGGTTAAATTGGTAAACAGTAAGGACCAAATTGGGCATCCGTACAATATTTTAGGGACTAACTTGGGAGTCCGTACAATAGTTTAGGGACCAACTCAGGGGTCCGTACAATAGTTCAAGGACCAAATTAAGGATTTCTTTAGTTCAGGGACCAAATCGGGGGTCCGCACAATAGTTCAGGGACCAAAATAAGGGTTTAACCTTAAGATAAATAGCAAAGGAACTTAGATAGATCCCAATTAATTTCAAGTCCTTTGTGCACATAGTTTCAAAGACAAAGTTGAAATTGGAATACACATTACAAGAAAAGCAAAGATGCAGGTGTAGCAAAACAAATACCAAAGGAAATTAATTTATAGCATTTTTTGCACACAATTTGAAAGAAAAAAATTGCACAGATAATAAAGAAACAAACATTTCCAATTTTCCACTTAGAATTTGACATATTTAGTCACACAACACAAACACAACAAAAGAAAAACAAAGATTATATTAAATTTGAAGACCCAACAGCAACAGTTGCAAATGTCAAATATGATTCCATACTTCTTTTGCCTCCAAACAACATATAAACTTGGAGTATCTAATAAACATGAGGCCATCAAATATGGAATAAAGTACCAGGATTTTAGTACCTTTTAAGACAAGCTCGTCAGAAAGCATTTTTCTACATTTACTCCAGTTTTTGTACTGCACTCTATAAAAAGGCATCCACATTCCCAACCAAAGTCAAATACAGTGCTTTCTGGACATAAGCCTTTCACTTTCTTGTTAAGATTACCAATGTGAGTGGTATCATTAAATTCCGTGTATAAAATAACACTCAAGAATCATTTTTCATAACATCAAATAGGCCCATGAGAAAGTTTCAGATGAACTTGAGATTGAATTGCTAATTGGAGCAAAATGAAAAAACAAAAACAAACAACATTGGTCAACTTTGTTTTCCAACAAGTATCTTGATGCAGTCCTAATTAGTTTGTTAAAATAGATAAATATATTTAGCCCATAAATCAGTGAACGTTTCCCTTTGAGTTCCATCATATACTGTATCTATACCACAGGTAAACAACACCATCACTGTAAAAATATAATGCACATAACCAACAATTCAACATGAAATCAAATCAGAATTAGGTTTAGAATCCAACCTGTTCTTTTGCTTAGACGTAATTAAGACTCTCTTGCTAATAATAATCCTCCACATGCAAAAGCAAGTTTTAAGCCTAGATCTACAGGAGGATTAGAAATTAGAAGAACATGCTCACATTCTTCAACAAGAGAATTAATCCAGCTTGACTGCATGGAATTCATAATTCTAGGACAAATTTGGAACACTTAAGACAACAACTATAAATAAAATCTTTCCAGTTAGTATACAAAGGAAAAATTGAGATTTCTATTGATCAGATTCAATCAAGGAAAAAAAAGCAAGCATGATCAAGAAACTAAACTTCAATTTCCTCAATATAATGAAAAAAACTCTTAGAAACTCAGTTTTCTCCAATATTCTCAGCAACCAAATAAACCTTTGACAATGATGGCATCAAAACAGATAATAAAAGATAACAATGTAGTCTCTTTAATCAATGAAAAATGTGATAAATTTAGAGAAATCAAAATCAGATCTTAAAGGAATACATATGAAAAAGAGAAATCCCTAAAAGAGAAAGCAGTTTTACAGACCTAAAAGTCAAAGGATTGATGCAACAAACCCAGCAAATAGACGAGCATTGCAGAGAATGTTGTATCCCTCTATGCATTGATATATAATTTGGACAATAATTATGACTATTGGCACTTGGCACAGTGTCAAGAAGATGAACTCTGGCTTGCTTTGGAGATGTACCAAATAAAAATTAGTTAAAAGAGGATGGAACAACAAAATTTTTCAACAACACTTAAACTCTACTAGGCAAGCATTCTAGAAACAAATCATAATTATATTAGATATATTGCTCTCCTGTTGTACAAAAAATAAAATGTAACTTAAGAAGTTAGATTCTCATGCACTTGCAAAACTATTAGGCAACTTCATTAAAGCTGTGGAATTATCTAATCTAATAGACAGGCAAGATTCAAATAAATTATTGAAATAAAATACCAATAAAGATGGTCAAATTGAAGCAGAATTTCATCTTGAAGGCAAAGTAATCACTTGTTTCAAATGACAAAATTGTACCCAAAGATATAATTATTTCATACCTTCCCACAGTCATTTAAGAGGGACAAAGGCAGTTTCTTCTCCTTCAAAGTAGTATTATAGTTAACTTGACATCTGATTTTGAGCTCTCCAGAGAAAATTTTGAGCTCTTGTTGATACCAACATCTTCAAAGAGTGAATAGTGATTATTTCAAAGCAAACACGTCTTACCATATCCCTGGTATATATATAGTTCCTTCACCAACGTGCTTGATTAAAAAGAAGATTGCTCATAAGTACCCTCTTTCCCACATAACAATTGGTCATTTGAAGTGTCACAGGATAATCCCCTTCGCTCATGGGACTGGGTGTCAAATATGACATATTGGAACAATGCTTTTTGTTAAGTAGAGACCTAGTAGCTCCTCTTCACTAGCATGCTTTTCTAGCATAACACCAACATTAGCCAGTCCACAGATGAATGTTAACCCAATAACATCCAAGGATGAAAATTAAGAAATTCTCTTTTGAAATAACAGTGTTTAACCAGTAATTTACTTTAGCTAATGAGACATAATTAGACCATGCAATAAGAAAATACAATAAAAAATTTTATTAAAAAATGCAAAAGAAAAGAAGAGGAGTGCACTCTGACCTGAATGCTAGTCCATCTTTAGCGATTCTGAGAAGAAAAAGAAATAAGCGTGCAGATATAGTTGATGAAATTAAGTCTTGGTTGTTGATAATGATGATGATGCTGAACGAAGTTTGACCAGGAAATATATGCAAATGCAACCAACTAAAACCCATATTACAAGAAAAGCAAAGATGCAGGTGTAGTAAAATATAAATAGCAAAGAAAATTAGATAGATCTGAATTAATTTCAAGTCTTTTTTGCACACAATTTCAAAGAAAAAATTACACAGATAATAAAGAAACAAACATTTCCAGTTTTCACTTAGAATTGGACATATTTAAACACACAACACACACAGCAAAAGAAAAACAAAGATTATATTAAATTGAAAACTCAATAGGAACAGCAACTAGTGCATATGTGATTTCCTCCAACTTTCTTGTGGTTGCAGAGCCGAATCCCAATTGCTGCCAATGGGGGAGAAAAAAATAGATGAGAGAGAGAGAGATTTATTAAGAATGGAAAACTCATATTGATTTGAATCAAAAATGGAAAATTGAAGATTAAAAGGCTTACATTTGCGGTGTGCCCTACCACCGTTTTTGCTGAAATTTACAGAAGGGGAAAAGGATGTCTTTTGCATTGGGATGGTCCCATTCCAATGATTCCCACCATTCTTTTGGCCATACCACAATTTCTTTGAGGGAAGAAGGATGAGATGATCGGGCATTATCAAGCAAGGGAAAATTCAGAGGAATCCTCTTCAGCTTCTCACAGTCGGAAATCCTCAGACTCTGGATGGAATCACAAATCAACACACTGGAGCTGCTACAAATGCTCTTCAATTGGGGCAATTCAGTCAATTCCAAACTTTGTAACTTGGGTATAGTGACTTTTTCTTCTTCATGCGCCGATGACGATATTAGCTTCTCCATTTGAACCTTAATAGTCTCTAAAGATTGGAAGTAGTGAAGCAGCCATCTAGATGAGAAGACCTTCTTTAATTGATCACACCTATCAACCCTAATTTCTTTAAGAGAGAAAAACCTTATGGGAGGTACACATGGCAATAAACCAATACCTTCTTCATCAAACACAGATTTCAAATTCCATAAATCGCAAAGGCCTAGATATTCAAGATTTGGAAGTGGGTTGAACCCTGAACAGAAAACACTCTCTATATTATGGCAATAAAAAATTTCAATCTTCTTGATCGAATCACAAATCAAAGAACCGCTACAGGTGGTCTTCAATTGGGACAATTGGGTCAATTTCAACCCTTGTAACTTGGATAGAGTGACTTTTTCTTCTACATCTGCTGATGACGATATCGGCTCCTCCATTCGCGAACAGCATTGAACCTTGACAGTCTCTAGAGATTGGAAGTAGCGGAGCAGCCATCCAAATGAGAATACCTTCTTTAATTGATGATATAATTCAACCCTAATTTCTTTAAGAGAGAAAAAGCTTGTGGGAGGTACAAGTGGCGATAAACCAAGATCTTCTTCATTAAACACGGACTTCAAATTCTCTAATTTGAAAAGGTATAGATATTCAAGATTTGGAAGTGGGTTGAACCCTGACCAAAAAACACTCTCTATATTATAGCAACCCTCAATTTCAATCTTCTTGATGGAATCACAAATCAAAGAACCACTATAGATGCTCTTTAATTGGGGCAATTCGATCAATTTCAACCTTTCTAACTTGGGTAGAGTGACTTTTTCTCCTTCTTCAGATTCAAACCCTATTATCTCCTCCAATTGCTCACAACCAAAAACCTTAACAATCTGTAGTTTCTGGAGATATCCCAACCACCTTACCGAGAATAACTTCTTTATTTATCAAATCTCTGAACATTAATATGTTGAAGAGAGGAAAATGTGCCAACTGGGAGCGATGCTGACTCAGCAATTGCTCCTACTTCCCCAAACACCATATTCAAGTTATGCAAAAAACGAAGAGCCAGCTTCTCAAGGTTTTGAAGCTTCCCCCAAATTCCAATCATCTCCCATTTAAATTCTGTTTTTGCATATATGGGATTGGTATTTACTATTAAATGCTAAAGTTTGGAGAGATTTTGTAGCGGTTCATCAAGTGTTTCAGATAATCTTCCACAAAGACCAAGATATTTTAGATTTGTTAAAATGTTGAGGCCTTGCAGTAGTCTTCAATTGATGTCCAGGAAAGGTCCAACTTTTTTAAGCCTACAAGGTTGGATAAAGATGGTACCTCTCTTAAGGAATTACAACCCTTCAGCAATAATGTAGTATGCTTCTCCAATTTGGAAATAGAAGTCGGCAGCCTACTTAGCTCACGATTATTGGAAAGATCAAGAATCTTGAGCCCAAGCATATGCTCAAAAAAAGCTTTTGGAATGGTTGAAATACTGTTATTGGACAATAGCAAGGTTGTGAGCATAGGACACTTTGGGGATGACATGCTTGAAGGAATTTCTGTTATGTGATTCCACATTAAAGAAACCTTCAAAAGATCTTCACTCCATTCATGCTCCTTTGGTAGCTTTTCCAAGGCCACTCCAGCTTTCACCAAGAATTAAGGCCTAATATCCAAAGCCATTTCTCGGAAAAGATCATGCATACTCACAAAATATTCATTTTTACCCGATTCTAACAAGCAGTTGTCAACCAACTTATCAAGTATATCATGTCCTTTCCAATACATTGCCTCCCTAGTTTTCCCTTCTTTATATATAAGCCCCTCCTCAATCCAATACTCAATTAACTCCTTCTTGTAGATTTCAGCATCTTCAGGACACAATGCACAGTATAAGAAACACACTTGGCATTGTGGTGCTAGGCATTCATAACTAAATGTCAAACAATCAATAATGCTTTCAAATTTACTAAATCCAGAAAGTGCCAACTTCTAATGACGAGGAAGTAATTTCCCTCTCATTGATTTTGCCACTGTCACTATAGCAAGAGGTACTCCACCACATTTCTGCAAAATTTGCTCCAAAAATGGCTTTATATCTACTTTAATTTTGCCATCTGACAACACTACACTTCCAACTTTCTCCAAGAATAATGCTAATGCTTCTTTAGGTGGAGGAGGATTCACAGAGATCACGTCACACTCCATTGCATGAGCAACTTCTTGTAACCACGTTGTGAGTATTAACTTGCAACCATTATTTCCTTCTAGAATAGGAATTCAAACATCTTCTAGACAAAATTGCTGCCACACATCATCTAGAATTAGCACAGAGTTGCCTTGCCTCAAGTTTTGTGAAATCAATCCTGCAAGCTTGGTTTCATTCTCATGATCCTCGGGCTTCAGTTCTAATCCCAAGCTACTTGCAATCCTTTTCTGAAACTTGAGAATATCAAACTTCCTTTTTTGCTGGACAATAATGTCAAAGTCTCTTGACACTTTTACCCAAATAACTTTGTTAAATTTGGGTTCTTTCAAGAGTTGGTTGTGAACTTGCTTCATAATTGTTGTCTTGCCCACACCGCCCATTCCTGAAACTGCAATTCTTGTAACCTCATCTCCCTTCAACCATTCCAGAATTTGATCTCGTATATCATCCCTACCCTTGCATTCTTCAACGAATTGTGAAACTCCTTTGATTGAGTGATCATCTATGACCAAACCCTGGCTATCATTAGTGTAATTTTCTCCTTGCATACATACTCCATTCAGTGCTTGAGTCTTTTTATCGAGCTTTCTTGATGAGCGAATGTTTTTGAAGTAGCCTTCTTTACAGATGTAATATCCCAAAATTTCTAGAATATTAAAGTTGAGTTGGGGACTAATTTGTGAGAAAATATTATTTTGGAGCCTAATAGCTAAAAACTCCAAAGTTGAGGGACTTAAAAGAGAAAGAAATTAGGATAAGGATGGCTGAGTTTTTTTTTTTTTTTCTTTCTTTCTTCTTCCTTATCCGCGCGTCCTGCTCTTCTTCTTCTCCCCTGCAGCCGGCAAAGAGCCCCAGCCACCGACTGCACCTCCCCTTGAAAAGACCGGTAAAAGGCTTGAAATTTCTCCTTCGTTTTTGTTCAATCACAAGATGTGGGGCTTAGAACTCTCCCTAAAACCAGACTTTTTCAGATCTGCAGCTCTTCCATCCCTGTCCGTGACTTGCTCTTGGTTGGGTGAGAATGAATCTTCGGTTTTAGGTAAGGAAACAACCATGAATTCCTCTTTTCATCCTTAAATTGGCTTGGGTTCACTTTAATTTCCTTTGTTTCCTTCAATTGCCGGTAGTTCTTCTCCAAAAACCCGCTGGTTTCCTCACCCATCAACTCCGGTTCTGCTGTTGCCGGAAAATTCTAGTTTGATGGCCACTCCTCTAAGTCCGAATTAACCCACTTAATTGCTGCTTGTTGAGTTTTAATTGGTTGAATTGATACCCTTGGTTGTCTGAAAATTCTGTGGAAATAGGAAGAAATTCGGCAGCCATTTAAGTATATAATTTTAGCTTAAATTCATGTAGAAATGGCTTGATTTGGCTGTTGTGATGTTGTGTAGGAATAATCCCGTGACTTAGCCATTGTTGGCCAAAGCCGTGGGTCTCCATTGCTTGTCCGGGAAATTGGAAAATTGGTATATATGTGTGTGGGTATAATTAAACCAATAGAAGGAAATAAAATAAAATAAAGAAATCGATATTGCTTGATGAGATTAATGACTGGCAATAATAGAAAAGGATTGAATGTTTAGTTTAATGTAAGAACAAATTTGGAGATGTTTGGTCATGTGGAGACTGATAGAAATAGCATCATGATTAGGGGGCAGTCATGGTGATTTTACTTTTGAATCCGTGGTACGGTAATTAATTCTTGGATATTTTGGCTAGGTTTTGATTGTTCTGTCACCGTAGCACTTGGGTTAAGCCTTATGTTCTGTGTGAGTGAGGTAAGTAAATTATGGTAAAGCCCTTCGATTTTAAAGCATGTTTTAAATTGTTTTTAAGATGGTAGCAAGGTTTAAATTGATTTTATCAGCATCTGAGTGTGATTAAACTGAAATGAAAATTGTGATGATTTTTATGAAAATTTTTATTTTCTGGAATTGAGCAAGATTGGAATGAAAATGAGAATTTCACTGTTTTTCTTCTGAGAGTTAAGCATGCCCACATGAAATTGTTTTCATTTGCATTGAGTAGAGCATGCCTATTTGGAATTGACTGAACTGCTTTGATGAACTGAGAATTTTATAAATTCTGAGTTTTCTATAAAATCCATGCTCACATGGAAATTTTTCGATTTATTCTGAAATTTGAGATTGATTGTGAATTACGGATTTTTCTGTAAATCTTGCATGGTTTTGTCTCTGATATAGTCATGATTACTGACGCCCGCCAGTGGGAGTTTGTAAACGGTGGCACATGTCGACATGTTTACTGATATGACCGGTTCATTTTGTAATCCTACCAATGGGATAATACATTGGTAATTATTGACGCCTGCCAGTGGGAGTTGTTAAACACTAGTACCATTACTGACGCCTGCCAGTGGGAGTTTGTTAAACACTGGTACTACTGACGCCTGCCAATGGGCGAATACATTGGTAATTACTGACGTCTGCCAGTAGGAGTTTGTTAAACACTGGCCATGACTTATAGATGAGACTACTACTGAATTTTCTTCTGCATTAACGGTTTGCCATTGAACGCTTTGCTATTGAACTGAATTTGATTTTGCATTTACGGTTTATCATTAAACGTTTTGTTATGTTAAACTGTTTATCAAGCTTGCTAAAATTTTACCCAAGGGCTATCCATATTTACTTACTGAGTTATCTCATAGTTTTCTTTGTCCACCATTTCAGGAAGCGAAACCGAGGACGGGGAAAGTAAGGGGAGTGACGAGTTAGAAGGCTAGCCACTTGTGATTGGATATGAAATTTTAGATTTTATCCTCCTTGTGTAAGGTAGATTTTATTCTTGAGATTTTGTGATTTGAATAAGTTCCGAGCCTTGTGCATTTGTGGGATCCTTTCACGAGTGCACGGCGTCTACCACGTCCTCGGATTTGGGTTATGAGGCATGACAACAGATCAGATCTTCAACCTTTACAGCAGTTTCTTTGCGCGCTTCCTCCAGCCAATTGTCGACTTGGCTCCTTGCTTTCTTTGCTGGCCGGTTAAGTTGTGTGTTTAATTCTGCCTTAACATCTTGGAGTTGGCGCTTCAGCTTATTTTGTTTAGCTTCGAATTTATCCACAAACTCACTGGGACAAAATTGATACTTGACATATTTGCAAACTGTAGGGCCAACGTCCTTTACAATATCAATGGCTGATTTTATGTTGTCCATTTGAGAGTCCCTGCATATATAAAATTGTTAGATATAGGATAATTATGCATTACAAACTTAAATGACCCTAGGAAATGGATCATAGCACAATTATAAGATAAGAGAAACAATTTTTGAAATTAAAGTTTTTGGGAGAAAATCAAATTGCGTTGGAAATTAACGGTGGAAGTACCATGAAGTATAATTGACTTATTAAAGTAAAGAAGCTAATAATTAACTATGCGGTTATTGGGCAGAGCAAACGTGCTTCAGAGCAAACGTGCTTTCAAGGAATACAAAACTCAGATAAAAAGTGAGATTATACATCAATTATTTAGGATTTTTTAATCTACATCCTTAAAAAGTAATTTTTTGTTTTAAATTTATATTATAAATTTATATAAAAA